TTTAGCCTAAAGAAGTCCAAGAAACACCATTTTTACAACAGTTTGATGAAATAATTATGAATCCAATTGATAACTTTTTACCTATGCCAATCGAAAATGGAAGAGTTGGAGATTTGGATCTTCTGCAAACGGTAACTTAAGTTTAGATAACTATTACAATTATTTAGATTAATATAATCTGTATACATAATTTGGATTATGTTGTCATAATCTAATTTTAATTTTGACGAAGGGCATTGATTATTTGATCTGAAAGTATTGACTAAAATTTAAAGTGCTAAGTTTAATACTCTTCATTGAGTAGGTCACTAATGGATATGTTAAATATGAATTCTATGATAAGTCAATGCATACAATAAACACAAACAATTCCAAAAAAAATAATATAATGAGGAATCTTGTTTGACATTTTCGAGCCATTTGTCTTATTTACTTAACTTTACATATTTTCATGATTTTGACAAATGTTATAAAGATTTAAACTTTTAAAGGCGGGTTTCCACTATACACGTTCACGTGTGCGTGCACAAATGACAAATAAATTTTCGATTCGAACGGTCTTCAAAACGTTTCACACTGGTTACTTTGGTAACTATGGTTTTATTATATATGGTTCTTGATAACGGTACACAAAGGATATCCCGCCTTTTTTAAAATATTTAAATACATAATACATATTATTATAATTTAATTATGATTTGTGCTAATATTTTATTCTTAAATTTTTTTAAAGTTTTAAACGCATTTTGTTTTTATTTTACTGTCAACTCTGTTTAATTTGTTAAATTTTAAAAATATGATGGAAAATCAAGAACTTCAATGGTATAATTATTTTATTAAGATTCATCGAAGAAATGTGTTGCTTGTATATTTAGCCATTTCACACAAAAAAAAAAAAAATCAAAGGTTATATAATCTTTTATTTCTATACCTACATATTGTTCTTTAATGTTAAATTATGATTTACTAGATCAAAATCCAAATGGCATGTTCAACCTTTTTTAAAAGAAAGAATAGTACACGGACATTATCATTGTTTAACTAGTGAACTTCAATTGACAAATTCTGAACAGTACCAAAACTTTATTAGAATGTCTGCCAGCACGTTTGAAGAGTTGGTGTGTCTAGTTGGACCCAAAATAAAGCGTTTCCCAAGTCGGCCTGATATAATATCAGTTGGAGAAATCCTAACTGCAACATTGCGGTAATATACCTACCATAATAATAATTCATTACTATATTTATTTAGTAAATTATTATATTAAGTACAATAATGTGTGACTATTACAGATATCTTGCGTCTGGGGAATCAATGATGTCGATTACATACGGTTTTCGTATAGGAAAAGCTACCGTATCAAAATTAATTTTACAATGTTGTGAAGTTTTATGGGATACATTAAACCAAAAAGTATGTTGTATTCTGGTTATACACTATGTATGTACAAAGCTGTAACTAGTTAGAAAGTTACTTTTTTAATTTAATTTATATTAACTTTGTAACTTAACTAGTTGAATTTAATGTACTTAATGATTAATTTATGTAATACATAACATTTAAAAAAATTGTATTTTAAATTTATATTTTGAACTAATATAAAAACTTACTTCTAACTTCTAGTCTAACTTAAGTTAGTATTTTCACCCAACTAACTTCTATCTAATTAAGTTATAAATTTGATAAATTTTAGAAAGTATATACCTAATATCCTAACTTAGTTACTTTTTATATTAAAGTAACTTAACTTTAACTAGTTGAAAAAAGTGACTAATTTGCTCAGCTTTGTGTATGTGAACAATATATATAGTGAATTATAGCCATTATTTTTATAACTTCCAATGATAGGTATTAGTTGTACCAGATACATTTAAATGGGCTCAATTAGCGGTTGACTTCGAGAGAATATGGCAAGTGCCAAATTGTATTGGCAGCATCGACGGTAAACATATTATACACCAGGTAATAATAATTATTAACTTTTTAATAGTATTTATTTAAATAAATAAAAATTACTTAATTATTTTAATAATTGAATAGGCATTTGCTAACAGTGGATGTGAGCACTATAACTACAAAGGGTTCCATAGTATTATACTGTTGGCAATGTGTGACGCCAATTATAATTTTACGTTAGTCGATATTGGTGCAGCTGGGAGATGCAGCGATGGTGGAGTTTTTTCAAACTCTGAAATGGGCAAGGGTTTCATACACAATAATTTAAATTTTCCAGCTGATAAAGAAATACATGAAAACAGTGGTCCAATTCCATATTATGCACTAGGGGATGAAGCGTTTCCATTACTTTCAAACCTTATGCGTCCTTATCCAGGAAGAGGTAAACGAAAACTACCATTAAAGGAATCCATTTTTAACTATAGGTTTGTCTCAAGAATTAGATAATTAAATATTCTAATGATTGTAAACAAAACATTTTTTATACAGGCTTTCCAGAGGTAGACGGACTATAGAAAACACTTTTGGGTTAATGGCCTCAAAATGGCGGATTTTTAGAAAACCGATAATTGCTGGACATAAAACTGTTAATGCAATTACAAAAGCTGCTGTTGTACTGCATAACTTTGTAAAACTGTCTGAAAACAATGCTGGTACTTATAATAAAAAAATACTTAATACTATTTGATTATTTTTTAACCTTAATGTATCCTAGGTGTACGGTATTATAGTGGAACTTTAGACACCGAACAAAGCAATCAGTGGGAACCACAGGGAGCTTTAGAACCAGTCCACCGATTAGGAACTAATACATACACAGCAGACGCTAAAGCAATAAGAGACAAACTTAAAGACTATTTTTCAGCTGAAGGTGCGACTTTATTCCAATATGAAAGATTAATTAATTTATAACTATTTGAACCATAAATTTATTAAACTATTTATTGTAAAATAAAAACAAAAACATAAACATATTAACTTCAAAATTGAATTTGTAGAATTTTAAGTATGAGAAAAATTACAAAACAAATAATAATCATACAGCCTTTACTTTTATCCTGATTAGTTAAATATAACAAAAACAAAACTACAAAATTGAATTAATTGTAGAATATTCAATAAAAAAAATAATAATTATACAGTCTCTTCCTGATAAATTAAATATTTAAATATAGCACAATTGATAAACATTATAAAATAAAAACATAACTACAAAATTGAATTTGTAGAACTTCCCAGTATAGGAAAAATTACAAAACAAATAATAATCATACAGTCTTTACTTTTTTCTGATTAGTTAAATATAACAAAAACAAAACTACAAAATTGAATTAATTGTAGAATATTCAATAAAAAAAAATAATACTTATACAGTCTTCCTGATAGATTGAATACTTAAATATAGCACAATTGATAAACATTATAAAATAAAAACAAAACTACAAAATTGAATTTGTTTAACTTCCCAGTACAATACAAATTATATAAAAATAATAATAACAAATACTTAGTAGGTATAGGCATTAAACAAAATTTTCAGTCTTCCAAACAATTAATTACCTGGCAAATGAGATTTGATTGCAAAGCTATTTTTTTTTTTTTTTGGAATATTCTTCATCAGTGAGGCTAAGTATTTACAATAATGTAAGTCCCCGTCTTCTTCGATGGAGCAATTGGTAGATGGAGCAACAGGTCTGAACTCACGTAATTCTTTCAAAATCAAATCTTCAAAAGTGTCAGACTTTGATCCTAAACACAAATATTAATCAGAACTACATAAAATAACAAAATAAGTTGACAATTTAAGATTTAAAATTCATAGTTAGTAATTGTTATAATATGCAAATAAATATATATAAGTATTAATTACTTTTAGTAGGTTTAGTGCTCTGTCCATTGAAGTCTTCTTTGTCTACATATGAGATATTCTCGGTCAATGATGGAATGTTGCTTGTAGTTCTAAAAAAAAAAAATGTAGTTATTCACATTTGACAATTAGTACCTAAAATTACATTTGTTATTCAAAAAAAAAATAGTTTTCCCTTTTAATATTCATTATTATATTATCTTACTTATAATTGCTGGTAATAACATCATTTAAAAAATGCAATGACTGCATGTGGCACCAAATTTTTTTTTCCCTCCTGCAGCACCACTTGCTGGTTTTTTTCCCCTGACATACTTCTCCCTCAAGTATTTTCATTTTTTCTTTAAAATTTCTATTGGATATATACCTGGATATATTCAATAATCATATCAAAATTATAATGAAGTATTAGATTATAGATTGTAGATGAATTAAAACTAACCATTCAGTGCAACATAAATCTCATTCCAAAGCATTTGTTTTATCGGCTCATAACGATCTGCCATAGGAAGCCGATGATCCCATAATGGATTACGTTCATTTATCGCACTAATGAGATTTGTATAAAATTCATTATCGTCATCATCATTGTTCTCTGAGAGGCTTGAAGTATTGCTGTGTTCTTCGTGTTCAAATTCAGCCATAATGTTAGATATTAATGATGGTTTGGAAGACTTAGGGTATGATGATTCACTTGGAGCTGCAACACTTACAGCTTTGGGTTGAATTTTTTGGAATGTATACTGTGTGCGCTGATCTAAAAATATATAATATTAATTGGTATAGAATACTCTATTTAAATTGAAAAGATGCCACACCGCCATGTTTTAAGTCGTCTTATAAACGTGAAACATACCAAATTTTAAGTTTTAAATTGTATAAGGGATTAATTCACTCTAATTTTAAAAACAAAAGGGTAAAATGTGTTTTTGTAAACGTACAATTTGCTATTGTGATAAGACATGTATGTCTTCATAAAAACAATAAAAGAATAAAAATCCGGTTCCATTATATTATATATTTATAATTTTTAGTTACTTTCTGAACATTTGTGATTTTTCTCGTTAAAATCCTACCGGTTCTTCTTGAAACCCATTAAGACATACGGCTTTTTAAAACTAAGAAACATATACCAAAATAAATCTTTTCAACCCACGTAAGCAAGTTTAGCTCATCAAAATGATAAAAGCTAAACATGATGACCCATCAGTTTTAGAACTTGTCAAGCAGATCGAAGGTACAAGGAACTTAGACATTGAAACGTCAAAACCTAGACTTCAAAAGGCTCCCCAGCCACCTGACTTAAGACATACCGAACAAACGAAAAAGGATAGCACAACCAAAAGTAAACCAACGCCTCCAGAACCCCAAAAATCTGAGATGCAAATGATACTTTTACCATATCTACGTTATCCCGTCACAGGAGTACCAACTACCGTGATATCAAAATTCGTACCCTCGGCGTTCAACATGTACTACATCATCCATCTCATGGACGACGTCATACGTAAGAACGGTTACTTTAAACGACAAGATGCATGGCATCCCTTTGTCTCGCGCCTCTACTTCGGAATAATTTTCATTATTCAGACAATTAGAGCCGAAATATCAGCTGGAGTAGCTTCCAAAGCCAGACGCAATTTCTATACGAAATTCTCTCGCGACTACCACCCTGATACCTTACCCGTACCCGGCCCCCTCGTCACTCTTTTCGAGTGCCTGACCCACTGCCACCCCAGTTCCACACTGGCCGCCACAGTTACTCCATATATACCAGAAATCTTAGGACCAGCCAGAGCTGACACGCTTTTAGACGCCACCGCAATCACAGCACATCAACTCATCCTACCTAACATTCCTCTATTACTTGGATTTACATCAACCGTGACCAGAGCAGCACCAGCCGCAATCCCCGATTATTCAAACCCTGCAACGTTCTCCAACGCCGCAGATCGCACCATCAATGGCCACGTCTTCACTCAAGAAGACTGGAACGACATCGAAAGGTCCGCAAAAAAAAAAAAAAAAAAATCCATTAAGTAATTACATTTACTGCATAGAATTCCCTAAAACATTCAACATTGCACTTAAGTCTTATACTATAAAATCGAATTATAAAATACATAAATTAAATAATATAAATAAAAATACAATGGCTAAACTGTCAATTAAATGATACATAACATCACAGTTATTGGAACAGTAGTTGCACACAGACTGGTCATATTATTTGATGAGGAATGGTGGCTATTGATCAGTCTCAAATAAAAAAGTAATAGTATTTTGGGGTCTAATTATAAATAAAGTAAAAACTAAAAGTAAATACAATAGCGTTACAAATTGTTACTTTTTTTAAAAATAAATTACAAAATCAGTCCATAACGACTAATAAGTAGTAGGTATACCATTAATTATTATATAAATTGTATATTAGTGTAATAGGTATAAACATTGATGATGTAGGTACATTGTTGAAGACTTAATGTTATACATGATCAAAATGTATAAGTATTATAACATAATATTCCTAGCAAAACCTCCGTCAGTAATGTATGATCAACGCTATCAAATGCTTTTGTAAAATCCATGTATTATGTTTATAACACCAACCTGAGAATGATTATTAAATGCATCAAATATATAATTGAAAAAGACAAGTTACAAGTGTTAGTTGATCGGCCAGGACAGAAACCATGCTGTTCATCAAATTAGGATTGAATTGACGGCAGGTCAATTGATGTAATTGATTTCAAGACTAATGAATCAAATAATTTAGCTATATGACTTAATAAGGATATTGGACGATAGTTGGCAACATTACACTTATTCCATGAATTATAAATAGGGTTAACAGTCCTAAGCTATAAAATATTAGGATAGACACCTTCATCTAAGGATTTACGAAATAAAAGTGACAGTGGGTAGGATATTACTCAGTTATATAGCTCAATTTAGATGAACCAGATTCAATAAGAGATATATAAAAAAAGCAATTACTAAGTAAATCATAAAATAAATGTGGAATACTTGAATTATTAATAACACTGTGGTCAGTGTAGACAGGCCTAAACTGCTTAGCGAATAAATGAAACTTCTTGATCATTAGAACTAATTAGCTAAAAAAGTAGTTAAGGAAAAATAAAAGGTACTTACTAAAACTTTAGACGATTCCATATTTGGGATATTTCTATTAAAGATTGACGTCGAATTTGACGATTCCATTGATATCTGAGCGACAGGCAGTATTGTGTACCGTGTACACGAAAAATGTTGAGCTATGTTCAACAATACGGTAACATGGTTAATCGTGTGGTAAGAACGTATAAACACATTGGTATACCATACGGTTACCATGGGTACCAACCAATCACAGCAAAGTATTTTTATGCACGTATACGTGTACGTGTATAGTGGAAACCCGCCTTAAAAACTGAATTTTTGTATATTGTCAATATTTTGTAGTTAATTGGTAGTTAATTTAAAAGAAAAATATATGATAACCCTAGAACATGATATTGAAATTTCAAGCTTTTTTTTTACAAACAAACATTTACTAAACATTTATAAAAAATAAACTAGAATGTGTAAAAATATTTTTAAATGTAACCAAAAAGTCAAAATGATTTGAAATGTATAATATAGGTATATAGAATACGAGTAGACATTTCAAGACTACAGTTAATTCATTTGTGATTATAACAAACAAACAAAAACAATTTTGTCAAAATCTGGTTTCTTGTAAAACTCCTATGTTTTTTTTGTTCTCAGATTCTTTTGAAACGTATTAGGAATATTTTACCTACTGCTAATTTTTACCAGAAAACACTTAAAGTTTAAGTTGAAGCATTTTTAGTTTTTAAAACACTAAAATATGCATGCATTAGTTTCTTCAAAATCTAAAATATATTTCAAATTATATTACAGTTTATTATTTTTTTTTTAGCCTAAAGAAGTCCAAGAAACACCATTTTTACAACAGTTTGATGAAATAATTATGAATCCAATTGATAACTTTTTACCTATGCCAATCGAAAATGGAAGAGTTGGAGATTTGGATCTTCTGCAAACGGTAACTTAAGTTTAGATAACTATTACAATTATTTAGATTAATATAATCTGTATACATAATTTGGATTATGTTGTCATAATCTAATTTTAATTTTGACGAAGGGCATTGATTATTTGATCTGAAAGTATTGACTAAAATCAAATTATTGAATAAGTATTTAAAGTTTAGACGAGCGGTGAAGTGGACAAACATTTCGCGGGGTAACCCCGAACCACTCCACTCCGCTCGTCTAAACTTTAAATACTTATAACTCATAAACTACTCGCCCCACATTCAACTTTCATGTATCAAAATACTGAGAAAAATATTCTACTTTGGAATATAAAATTAAAACCCTATGTTGTCATTCAAAAAAGTAAAAAACTTAAAAAATTATAAGGATAAAAAATAATTAAAAATATAATTTTTTAATAAAAATGTTGTTTTATAAGCGACTTGAAACTATGTAAAAAAATATCTTCAAAATAATTTATACTTTTTGAAATAATGAGTGTTGTTTGATAAAAGAATCACCCGGTATTGTTACAATATCAGTTGAAAAATATTAAAAATATATAGACACAGTTTTTTTTTATAAGCATTTAAAGATCGAATTTTGACAAAATTTATCAAAATCTCGAAAATTATCAATCATTGTAATTAATAAATTATAAAATGTTCAGTTTTTATAGCTAAGGATTGCAAATTTAAAACAAAGGTTCTCATAAATAGTTTATACTGTAACCAAAAAATCTGAAAAATATATGAACACAGTTATTTTTTACAGACATTTTAAATTCAAATTTGGACGAAATTACATAAAAAAAACCTAGAATAACTATTTTAGTTATTTTGTTGTGATTGAATAATATTATTCGTGTTTACTTGAAACTTCTAAAGTGTACTATTATTTATCTATGATAGTATCACGGTTTTTGTTGATGTATAACGCGTTATAAGTACCTAATGGATATTGTGATATGATTAATTTGGAATTTCTTATAGGTACCTATTATAGGTCAAATTTTGGTTTAGTACCATAGATATGTATATAATATGTAGTATACCTAGACTGACATACGGCGTATGTGTGATATTAAACTTGATATTGTAGAAAACGGTGTATTCCCAGTTCGCCGACACCCAATTCGCCGACATCCAGTTCGCCGACACCCAGTTCGCCGAAACCCAGTTCGCCGACACTCAATTTGACAACACCCAATTTGAAAAAGTACAGTTCAGTTATAAAAATATATAATAATTAATAATATATAATATTTAATAATAATATAATATTAAATTAATAATATTTAATTTTTTAATATGTAATAATTAATTAATTAATTCTTAAGTCTCGATAAAAATCGTTGAAATCATTTAAAAAATAAAAATAAATTGAAGTAGGTTTGAGCTATGAAAATCCATTTACTCCATGAGGTAATTGCTCATAAAAATATGAATAAGCTTCATATGATAATATTTAATACAATTATTTACCTTTAATTTATTTCGGAAACCTCGTTTTGCCAATTCAAGACCATGTGGTCCGTGATTATGTGACTTGGACATAACTATGACTGTTGATTGTCTTAATATTGCACGGCCGCCGCAATTATCTATACATTTATAATATTCGTTGTCCCCACGTATCCGGTCTATTCTATGTAAATATTTGTCCACTACAAGTAAGTTCTGATTTTTTTTCGAACTTAAATTTAAACCATTCCATAATGGGGGGAAAAAAATTTAATAACTAGTAATATGTGTAGTAAATTGCAGTACCTACCTCATGCAGTGAAATAAAACTACTAACTAAAATCATGTTCAATATTTGAAAACCCCAGTGGACTTACAATACGTTATATAAATGGATGTCAATAAATTATCATGTGATAAGTACCTATAATACTATATTTTATACTCATCATTAAATATGTTTACAGATATCATAACTTTGCCGATATCATAGCCGATAGGTAGTTCTTATACCTACTCATCGTACTCATCAAATTTACAGATTATGATAGTAGCTATTACAGTTTTATTGCAATGCAACAAAGCATGTCGTCAATATCATTTGTCGGCGAATTGGGCTTTTTTTAAAAACCATTAAAAACTGGTTTTTTGATCAAAAAACCGGGTGTCGGCGAATTGGGTGTCGGCGAACTGGGCATAAACCGTAGAAAACGGCTTATCACATTAATCACATTGATAAGTTTTTTCACGGATGTGTATCCTCTTATGTAAATTTTTATCTCTGAATTGTCCATGCTGGCTTTAATGAGATTGATTAGTTTTTTGGAAATTAAACTCTTTTATCACCATGATAGGCAATGAAACAATCGCAATCCCGTCTCTGGTGGTAAACGTCATAATATTTGCATATAGGATCAAAATGCTATATGATCCAATCGCCGCCGTGATGACGATCGCCACCACTGTCACCGATGAAAGAGTCGCAACTGCGTCTATCACGGCGACTACTGTCGTAAATATAAGCAACTGCACTAGGCCACTAGTGCCGGCAGCGACACGATGGTTGCGTACAGTTCAATTTTGGTCCCGACGTTCGCAGTGGTAATATCTACTGTCGCCATTATGAGTTGCGCTATCTTTTTTTATTCCACAATTTCTTTCCACTTTTTACTTATGGGGTGTGTCCTTTTGGGTGATGATAAATTTGATTTCTGAGAATACGCCTTATCACAGGTATATTTTGTGTGATATTAAACTTGATATTGTAAAAAACGGCTTATCACATTAATCACATTGATATGTTTTTTCACGGATGTGTATCCTCTTATGTAAATTTTTATCTCTGAATTGTCCATGCTGGCTTTAATGAGATTGATTAGTTTTTTGGAAAATTAAACTCTTGGTGGCGTACTCTGGTGTAAATTCTGAACTACGAAACCACCGTGATTTTTTGCGTCAATATTGTACCATTGAAGGATACGGGTTATCTTCTCTAAATCGAGCCTGGAGAATAAGGAAC